CATCTTGTCAAAAGGGATATCTTTCATATCATTCCAGATTTTCCTTTTTCTCCATTTGCCCATTCCTTTTTTCTTCTTCTTTATTTATTTCTCTTGTGTTTCTTATTTCTTTCTTTATTTATTTTCTTTAGTTTTCGTTTCTTCTTTCTTTTCCTTTTTTTTTTCTGTCTTCCAGATTTTCCTATTTCTCCATTCTCCCATTCCTTTTTTCTACTTTCTTTCTTTTTCCTTTTATTGTCGCGAATGATATAAATGGAAAAAGAGAAAGGTTAGGTCGAGTAGAAATCACGTGATCAAGGCTGATTTAACGGTTGAATAGTTTTCGTTGAAAATATTTTTAAAGGGAATTGAATTAAGTCCGCCTAAGTTTGGGTCTATGAAAACACAGTAACAGGGGAGTTATTGATACAAATGTTCCAGTGACAATAATTCATTATCTTTACAATGAATATTCTTTTTACTTATTCATTTTTATTTTTTTTTTATTCATTTTTTTTTTTACTTCTTGTTTTCCATGGAATGCACATTTCAAAAATGGAAAGGAGGCAGCCCCATGCAGAAAATAGAATAAACACAATTTTTTTTTCTATATATATTTTTATATTTTTATTNAGCAAGGTCGTCGCGCTGATGGTCATGTGATGAACCCGAGACCCCGGTGGCCGTCGCGGAGGTGGAAGGGGGAGGAGAGTACAGAGAGGATGGAAGGGGGCGGAGGAGACAGAAGGTGTGAACGAGGTTTAAGGGGATGGAAGAATGGGTGGAGGAGGTGGAAGAGGATGAAAGAATAGGTGGAGGAGGTGGAAAGGGATGAAAGAATGGGTGGAGGAGGTGGATGGGGATGAAAGAATGGGTGGAGGACTTGGAAGAGGATGAAAGAATGGGTGGAGGAGGTGGAAGGGGGTGAAAGAATGGGTGGAGGAGGTGAAAGGGGGTGAAAGAAAGGAGGTGGAAGGGGGAAAGATGGGTGGAGGAGGTGGAAGGGGGTGAAAGAATGGGTGGAGGAGGTGGAAGGGGTGAAAGAATGGGTTGGAGGAGGTGGAAGGGGGTGAAAGGGGTGGAGGAGGTGGAAAGGGGGTGAAAGATGGGTGGAGGAGGTGGAAGGGGATGAAAGAAATAGGTGGGGAGGGGGAAAGGGATGAAAGAATGGGTGGAGGAGGTGGAAGGGGGTGAAAGAATGGGTGAGGTGGTGAGAATGGGTGGGAGGAGGTGGAAGGGGATGAAAGAATGGGTGGAGGAGGTGGATGGGGATGAAAGAATGGGTGGAGGAGGTGGAAGGGGATGAAAGAATGGGTGGAGGAGGTGGATGGGGATGAAAGAATAGGTGGAGGACTTGGAAGAGGATGAAAGAATGGGTGGAGGAGGTGGAAGGGGTGAAAAAGAATAGGTGGAGGAGGTGGAAGGGGTGAAAGAATGGGTGGAGGAGGTGGAAGGGGATGAAAGAATGGGTGGAGGAGGTGGAAGGGGGTGAAAGAATAGGTGGAGGAGGTGGATGTGGATGAAAGAATGGGTGGAGGAGATGAAAGGGGATGAAAGAATGGGTGGAGGAGGTGGAAGGGGGTGAAAGAATAGGTGGAGGAGGTGGAAGGGGATGAAAGAATGGGTGGAGGAGGTGGAAAGGGATGGGGGTGGAGGAAAGGATGAAAGAATGGGTGGAGGAGGTGGAAAAGAATGGGTGGAGGAGGTGGAAGGGGATGAAAGAATGGGTGGAGGAGGTGGAAAGGGTTGAAAGAATGGGTGGAGGAGGTGGAAGGGGGTGAAAGAATATGTGGAGGAAGTGGAAAGGGATGAAAGAATG